GGGGGGGGGAAGGGAAGGTGGGGGTTGTTGGGGTAAGAATAGAGGGAGAGGAGGAGGAAGGAGGAGAGGGAGAAGGGAAAGGAGGAGAGAGAGGAGGAGAGGGAGAAGGTGGGGGTTGTTGGAGGTAAGGATAGAGGGAGAGGAAGAGGAAGGAGAAGGTGGGGGTTGTTGGGGGTAAGGATAGGTGGAGAGGAGGAAGGGTAGGGGATAGTGGAGGCTATTAGGGGTAAGGGTAGGGGTGGAAAGTAATAGATAGGTGTTGGTTGAGGAGGTAGGGTAGGGGAAAGGGGGAGGTGGAAGGTGTATGGGTGGTAGGACTAGGGAAGGGGTTCAGTATTGGAGGGAGTGGGAGAGGGGACAGGGAAGGATAGAAGTGTTAGGGAGAGGGAACGGGGAAAGGAATTGGCAAAGAATTGTAGTGGGAAAAGGAGAGAGGAGAGATCTAGCGGTGGCCAGGGAAGAGATGATGAGAGGCAGGGGTAAAGGGGTATTGGGAGGGGGGGGAGAGCACAAATCCTTGGGGGGTCCGAGGATTGGCTTCGAGTAGGGGTACGAGGGATTTCCAAGACGTGAGGGAGAAAGGGGAAGGGGCAGGGAAGGCTGTTACAGGTTTCCTTTGTGGTGGGGTCAAGATGATTAGCAGACCGGCATGGTGGTGGGGGAAGGGGGGAGGGGGGTAGCGTTGTTTCTCACTCCCACGCTCTCCGGGCTAAGCAGCAGGTCGTTATTATTGACAGGTTCATTTCTGAGTTTTAAAAGCAATTTTAAAGGCTTACAAAGTCCGTTTTAGGACACGAGGAGGCACGACTGTGGGATTTTTTTAAAAAGTAGTTTTGTTAGATACAATAACATTTTGCGTGATACAATAACACTTGATTTTGATTTCGTGCATTGTATTGTCGAACATGCGGTAGTAAGCTGTAACTTCGGCCTACTATGCTGCATAGGGACGCCACCCGATCGTCCTTGATATTAGGAGTTGGAGCCGATCTTATCACTTTAATCGTGACCAAGTATAATGTTTCTTGACTGTCCAGTGACCTTGATATATATTTTTTTTCAGTTTTTACTCTTATCCGAGGATGGACTACCTTGATGCGTCCTAATAAAGAGAGTATCTCGTATCTGCAGCGTCGAGTGATGTGTCAGAAGGTGTCATGTTTACAGCCGATGCGGTGGATACGGCACAGTTTTGTAGTCCGACGCCCTCTTTACGACCCACTAAAATGTGTGTTCCATAAACAAAACAAATTTATTAGGTTAATTAAGTATCAAAACGGGGGGAAGGAGGCTAACAAACTGCCGGTCTTTAGCGCCGTTGCAACGGTCTTTTGAGATTTTTTTTTCGACTTTTGGGGGGTTTTAAATTTGGAAAGGCGCGGAGGCTTTTCAGGTGATGTTTATAATCCCTTTCTCCAACTTTTAACGTCGGTTTTGCTTCTCAACCGACCGGTTTCCGCGCCAGAAATCGCCAAATATGTAAACTAAATGAAGGAGAAAGAATGGAAAAAAAAAAGAAAACAAGTCGCCATTTTTCATCCACTGGCTCCCACCTCTTGTTTGTGATGGATCTTCGACAGGTTGTGAAGCGACGCGAGAAACCATGTGAAGAAGATGTAAATCCTACTCCCTTGGCCTTTTACACGCTACGGACTTGCCTTCGCGATGTTCGCTTGTTCGGCCATTTGTCACGTCATTTATACTTTTCCGTGCGTTTATGGCGGGATTTACGGACGGTGTGCACATGCGCCTCGGACGCCGGGTGAAGAGGGAGCCATAATTTTTTCTCTCTCTCTCTCTCGCTTTTGTTTATTGCCATCCGTCTTTGTTCTCCCGTTTAATGAGCTTCGGTAATAATGATCGATGAGGGAGTACCGAATTAAAAAAAAAAAAAAGATAATGGAAGGAAAGGTGGCAGATTTTTTTTCTTTTTTTTTTTTGAGAAAACATATGTGAACATTTCGTTTTCTTCTTTTCTCCTTTTTTTCTCTTTTATTCTTTTTTTTTTTTTCTCTCTCTCCTCTCTCGGTGTCCGCCACCGCCGCCTTCCTTCCCGCCTTCCTTTTGTTCTCCGCATGCAAGGGTGACCTCATGAAATATTAAACGAGGATCATGGCACGGAGAGTCGAAGGGGTTAGGGGGGGGGGGGTGGGGGGGGGTTGAAGAGTCCCCAGACAGCCTTCTCATTCATGCAGGAGAGAAGGGGGGGGAGGGGAGGAAGAGAGAAAGGGGGGAGGGAGAGGAGAGGGAAGAGAATGGGGGAGGAGAGGAAGAGAGAAAAGGGGGGGAAGGGAGGAAGAGAGGAGAAGGGGGGGAGGAGAGGAAGAGAGAGAAAAGGGGGGAGAGGAAGAGAGAAAGGAGAGAAGAGAGAAAGGGGAGGAGAGGGAGAGAGAGAAAAGGGGGGAGGGATTCTCAGTCTTTTATTTCTCTGTCTTCTGTATCTATCAGTCTGTTCGCTTTTCTGTCTACCTTTGTGTCTATTTGCTTGATTTTTGTATCTATATCTGTCTATCTATCTATTTGCCTTTCTCTCTATCTGCTTATCTATCTATCCGTTTATATATCTGCATGTCAGTCTTTTCATTTATCTATCTATCCATCAGTTTATCTATCTGTCTTTCCACCCACACACCCATTCATCCATCCATCCATCCACCTACCCATCCATCTATCCATCTACACGTGTGTGTGTATCTCTGTTGTCTCCTTCGTTGCTCCCTCCCTCCCTCCCTCCCTCCCCCTCCCCTCCCCCCTTTCCTCCCCTCCCTCCCTCCCTCCCTCCTTCCTCCCTCCCTTCCCTCCTTCCCTCCCCCCCCACCCCCCTCCTTCCCTCCCACCCCCTCCCCCTTCCCATGGCCAGCGAGACGACCCAGATAGGAAGGGATTGCTGTCTCATGGTCTTCCACATATTTAGGGGGGGGGGTCTTTTCTTTATTTTTTTTTTATGTCGGTTTCTTTCCTGGGGAGTGAGTGCTGGTGGCGACATGGGAGGGAAAGATGTGATTCATGACTTGCATCAATATTGTAGGTATATGTGTTTCGTGTGTTGTTTGTGTGTGTGTGTTGCGTGCGTGCGTGTGTGTGTGTATGTATGTATGCGATGCAAGTATATACATCTCTCATCTATCTCTCTCCTCCCTCCCTCCCTCTCTCCATCACACACACACACACACACACACACACACACATATATGTATACAAATAAGTACACATGCCCCCAACTATTGAGCATGGAACGAAAGAGGCTCATTCACGTCTGTTGTTCAAGGCATTAGGTAGAAAGAGACACCTGAGTGCATGCCTAACCAGGTGCGAAACGTGACACGAAAAAAGCTTGGAAGTCACACATACTAATAACTAAAGTCCAATTTTTTTTCTTTCGTAATCCGTGTTAGAATGTTTAGTGTGTATCTCGTGCGTCTTTTTTTCGATTCTAAATGGTGGCTTTGATGATTTTATCAATAATTCCCTTAATTATGATGATTTTGATGATAATTCCATTAATATTGACAATAAAAATAATAATAAAAAACAATAGCAACAATAACAACAATATTTTATTGGAATGATAATAATGATAATATTAATGACAACAAAAGGTAAACATTATCTTCGAAGCCTCCGGAAAGTATATAGAATTAGAGCTAATGATAAAGTCGGCGACACGTGCGCCAAACGAGGGGGAATCCCGGAAGCGAGGAGGCGAGCCAGGACATCCCCGAGTGACGGAAAAGGAGGCGGCAGCGAGCGGCGCTTTCTTGCCCCGAGTCCCTCACGTCGAGAAGGAAGAGGCCGAGGACGCGAACCTCCTTGTAGGACTCTCGACTCAAGACGGCGAGGAGAAGGCTCTCTCGCTCTCTCTGTTTCCTCGTTTCTCTGGTTCTCTCTCTCTCGCTCTCTCTTTCTCGTTCTCTTTCTCCATGGGACTTTTCGTCTTGTTTTATTTTTATTTTTTTCATTCTCTTCTCTCTCTCTCTCTCCTCCTCTCTCCTCTTCTCTCTCTCTCTCTCTCTCTCTCTCTCTCTCCCTCCCTCTCCCTCCCTTCCTCCCTCTATCTCTCTATTCTATCCCTTCTATTTTTCCATTTCTTAGGATCACATTCCCCGAAACACTTTTTTATCAGATAGGCCTAAGTAATTACAGCACGTGAAATCCAGCCAATAAAACAGGCGATAAGTTCTGCCAAGCATCCACACGCCTTGGAAGTGGATGCTGAGACGATGCAGCATCCATCCTCTCTCATCCTTGGGTAGCAATCCCGGCCGAGGTTTCAGACGAGACAGGACGAGCTTCAACATCAGCTTAAGTGATATATATTTTCTCCTTTGTGATGTATTTTTTTACAAAGACACGTAATGGAAATTTGCAATTTTTTAAAAATTATTTCTGAATGCGTCTATTTTTTTTTTTTTTTTTTTTTTTTTTTTTACGTACACAAAAAAATCTAAATGCGCAATCCACCAGCGAGAGGAGCTGAATACAATGCGAATTATAATGCAAAAAAAAAAGAGAGAAAAAACGAAAAATATTGGAAAACGAAAATTCGGAAAAAAGAAAGCGACTCGAGGGATTAAAAAGAAGGCGAAGGAGCCGAGAGAGCGAAGCACACGTCGCAGCCAAGACTTTCCTTCCTGTCCTTGAGCCGAAGGAGCCGAGCGGAGAGGTTTCATTATACACTCATGACGGCCCAGTTCTTGAGCATGCACATGGCTGGAGCACACTTACGGCCGACCATGAGCCGTCTGGAAGCGAGCGGGCGCTGGATACAGGCAGGCAGACAGGCAGGCAGGCAGGCGCATGCAGGTCACGCACTGGCTATACTTACGGGACCTTGTTTACGCTGGAAAACATGCGGCCAGGGACGCGTACGGCGCCTGTTTATTCATGCGCCGGCGAGGGAGCTGATAATTAGCTTGATCAAATACGTACATGAACCACACACATGTATAGAGGTGCGCGTGGGTACACGAGTGCGCTTGTGCGCACACACATGTGCACGC